ATCGCTTCAAAAACTACGATCAGAGCGTTGGGTAAAGGATAAATTCTCTCCGACAAAAAGCTTTCACTTACAAAAACTCAACTTGCTCGTTGATTTTCAGCCTGAGCTTTTGACGTGGGTGGAATACGTGGTTGCATTCAATCAGGAATATCCCGACTCTGCAGAATCAATGTTTCGAATTGTGAAGAAATACGCTTCCAAAATGAAATGGGAAAACGTGTTTTTGATAATGACAAAAGACCCGAGGTGGGAAAAAGTTGCTGGGCAAATAAAAGAAGAACTAGGGTTTTGTCTGGAAGCGCAAATACCGCCAGAAGTCGTGTGTGATCTTATGGGGCTTAATCTAAAAGACCCCGACATTTTGAAAAACGTTTACTTTAAACGTTTGGTCTCATACTCGGTCGTTTTCTCTTTTCGCGAACCTTCCAACCTCCATGACAAACCCGTGCTGACAATTCTAAAATTAGCGCAGACAGACACAAATACTTTGATCGAACGTTTGAAAAAGCAGGCAACTGGTGTCAAAGTTGCGCAGACGTGGGAACTCGAAATTCACATGGTACTAAATGTTTATTCGCCCAACGACGACATACTGAATAAAGCTTGGCTTGATTATATCTCCATGATCGATGACCAGCCTCTTGGCTGGAATTTGGCTACATGCATCAGAACCATTTATTCAGGACTTGAGATGGAGAAAGCTATTGGTCAAGCGCTTTCACAGCCCATCCCAGTTTTGAGGATGGGCGGCCACGAGCTGTCTGCATCTAATGAGAAAACAAAATCAAAATGCGATAAGTTGATCAAGTCACAATCGGTCGAGAATTTAAGAACATTTCATTTTTCGACAAATGGACAAAAGTGAATGTGCTACAAGAATCGCCATCTTTTTTTTAGTTTTTAATAGACATTACTTCGATGCACAAGCATCACCAACTATTTTGGCTTTAAAATGTTGATATCCTAATTTAGTATAAACTTTGACACTCTAGGCGATCAATTACGTGGGATTACTGACAAATAGACAGCGTGCATACCTTTTTTTAACCTGTGCAAAATTCGATATCTTGTCTATATATTTCAAAACTGTACTTGTAAAAAATGACGTAAGTTAATGAAGTTATCGTCCATTTACTATGTATGTATGCGATAGCCACGCATATCAGTATTTACCGGTGATTGTACCAATAGTGTAGGACATAAACTAATCTTTGGAAAACAGACCAGCAAAATTCATAAAACAAGTTTGTAGCCTATTGGGCCTTTTACAAAATCTTTCCATTGAGAAGCTTTTATCCCGATTCATTGTCAAAAAATTTCTGCACTTTGCAATTGATGTCAAGGTACCTGTTAGCATCCACTATTACAATGAGGTTAAGTAATTGCGACAGGCACAGTATGCCCAAGTCGATGCACACCTAAGCTTTGAGGACTTACATAAAGGGAGCGCATGTAATTTATCATCTGTATCCGTGAGTCGAAGCTAGCTATGAAGACAGCTCTGAATATCATAGACGAAAGACGCAGTCACTATTCTCAGCAAAAATGATAGGGCGAAGAGTGGTCGTAAGCAATGACATCTGTATACTTTACATACTGGTCTATTATATATGAGAAACTACGTGTCGTCTTTCTTCCATTGCACAGCTGTAAGCAGGTTAGTCAAAATATGAGTAGGTACATTCACAAGATGCGCGTCTTGACAATGTACTTGGTCAAAAAAAACTCTCGAAACACGTCAAGGTGACGGTGTTCATGGACGACCTAAGCGTAGACCTGGCGCGTACCCAATTATTCAGGGTTCAGGTCTCGATGGTGAAGGAGACGACACAAATCATTTCCCAGCGAATTAGTAGGCAGGGATACGTCACCCAAATTAGTGATCACCCCTAGTGCCACCCTTAGCTGTGTAAGCCCGCGTAACTTCTCGTGGCGAACCGTTCGATGTGAAGCTGAATTTTTCACCGAAACTTCTCCTTCGCCTCTTTATAAGATATTGGTCTTTGTGACCCGAACTAGGGGAACTCCACCTGCGACGAAGCCCGACATTATTCTTGTCATTCAAAGAGAGCTATCCCTCGCCCTTTAGTAACTTTAATGCGGGCGTAACTTTATTACCCCCTCACAGATTTCTCAATCTCACAGCCACCTCTGGGTCGGTACATTACAATTATGCCATCCCTAGAATTTTTTGAGTCTTGACGCTTTAGCAATCCCTTAGCGTGACCTCACGTCTGATAATTGTGGGAGCATGAAGAACTAAACATCCCTGCCAGAGCGTGGGGTAATTGCCACTTATGGACTATCCACGCGAATTCACCTTATGCGTCTACAGCGACGGCACGCTTAGATTAGGTTGCGCATATTGATTTTTGCAGGGTTATCATAAAAAGCTTGGGTACCCTATCATAGTATTATGTACTAGTCTCACTGAGACCTACCGTTTTATGCTTTCCCGTGAGGTAGCAACAAACCTGGTGCAGTTCTTCGAGACTGTCTGACGGCACTCAGAGTCCCTCGACGAGCCAGAGTATATTAGAAATTCAAATAGTCTTCATTCCTCCGTAAATTTGAGAATAAGAAAATCAGGCTTTTGCTGCTCATATTCCTCTTGGAGCTTTGATACTCTCAAGAAGAAAGGTGTATCACATACACACTCATCACGAGCGTTCTCACCTAACTGGACACCCTGCCTTTTCTTGTGATACTATTTCTTTCAAACTCGTAATTGTAACTTTGCCATCCACCTCGCAAACAAACTCACCGGAAAGCAAACAGACATCAATTCTGCCCTCCACTAGCCGGGCAAGCTCGTATCATATGCCCCAAATTACCGTATCTACAACAACGTTTGCTGTAATATTAGGTCGCGCTTAGGTCCATTTGTATCGTAATGGCTTAATGTGTATACCTGCTCTTTGCGGGTGTTTTGGGTAACAATGTTCCACCTTGTGCTAGAAGCGCCAGGACATGACAGAGACAACACCTGATAGGAAATTTGTTGTGTGAATACGCTGTACCATGTGGCGATAACGGAGTTCCGCGCAAGGTCGAAAAGAGCGAAGGGATTGCCACATTACGTGGATCATTAAAACTATTAATGGGTTGTGTTGCAAAGCCAATATAATATCGACTTTGCGCACAAAAATGCCATAGGATGTCACTTCATCTGCGACATCGTGACGGGTCGTCGCATAAGGGCGGGGGTCATCCGCTTTATGACACCGTCAAATACAGCGATCCAAACATCGATGAGCTTGAATATACAAACTTACTAACCGTGCTAAAGACCGGCTTGATTGTGTTGTGTCTAAAAAATTGGATAGCTTAGAGGTGTTCTTTGATATGAACATGGGTGCCCGTAACTATCCGCAGGCAGCGAGAGACTCGCCTGTGCTCCGAAATATTGATAAATGTACATATTTTAGTGTACTTAAAGCCAAAGAAGTATATCGAAGTGACTCGCCGTCTCAACTCCCTGTCATGGAAGTTAGGCACACGATTGATGTCGTATCAGAAACAAATTATTGTCTATCGAGACAATGCTGTCTGCCTGTGAGCAGTACGAGGTGGTAAAAGGTTTCTTTGCCGAGACGGCAATGATCGGATAAACGAGGGAATTCAAACTTCCACACGTCGCCGAAGTACTAAGCTCAGGAACTGAGTAGTAGTATTGACTACTTTATGTCTACAATCAGCTGTATAATGCCATCGTGCGAGATCTAATCCCGATCTCTAGGAAGAGCACGTAGTTCATTTGTGATACACTGTACACTTGATATGGAGGATGGGTACTGCGAGCCTGGTAACAAACCCTTACCTTACGCAAACACCCCCATCAGTATGTGAAATGTGGCTAATGATGCCACAGGTACTATCGACGCCCTGGTAACTTTAATTGCTTGGTCAGCTAGCATACACACTAATGTAAGCTTAAAACGTATTCTGATGATACATTCGCCGAACGCAAGGCTGCAGATAAAAAAAGGCTATTGGGGTGATCTTTTTGCGCTCGCCCCCGCTTGATGTCTGGGGGTATAGGAGACGATGCGCTATATGGCAGCATTGACAAATCATTTCTGGCACTAAATTTATGTCCTTGGTTGAATTTTGAACAACCAGGGTGTCCGTGTAGAACACCCGGACGGTAGCGAGCAAAAAGGTATGCCTTCCACCTGGACCCTGAAAGACCTGTTTAGTTTGGTGGAAATCGACAACAACTTAAACGAGCAAACTATTGGGCTCGAAGGATCAAGAACAAGAGATCTTGATCAGTTCTGGGCAGATAGAGGCGGCTAATATAAACTAGCTTGTCTATGATTATTTGAGTATACCTATAGCTTTAAGGCCTTTGTGATCGAAACACACCAAATATCTTCACGAACGGTATCAGTACTCCATCTTCTTAGCAACTGATGGCTAAATGGCTAAATGGATTCGCGAAGGATTCCTTCCGCGTTGACGTTAAACTGTCTAGCTCTTATCGCGGTAAGCTGGGGCACGCGTCTTGGGTAACTATGATCTTCTGGGCCATTAAGATCCATCGATATCGGGAAGCGTCTGTATGCGACAATGCCAACTCCAGTGGCTGATCGATCAGCAGCAGTCTAAGATTCATTGCCACAAATGAGCGGCTACCTGCTGTGGGATGAATTACATTCCAAATTTTCCCAACGATTGTCGCTCGGAACGACAAGGTTACAGGTATGATGTACTTATGGTTGTGCTCGATGCGCCCTATTTAGCTGTAGAAACACATTGCATTCAGCCACGTAGGCCATCGATGGTTTCATATGTACACGTGAGTTTCCACATGTGAACGACGTGTGTGATGTACCAGCAAGCTCGTATACAGTACATGCGTTGCAGAGCATCGTTTCTGTAGAATATTGAAACCCAGTCAGTCTTGACATTGCCATTGGGTACCAACAAACGATAGCTTTCACACAACTATACCAGTATTGTATGTTGATTGAGCAAGCTGCTTCATGTTAATGACCGCTCAGACGATTTCTTAAAAACGGTATTTAACAACGATATTGATTCTTTTGGTTTGTTTAAAAAAACATTATTGGATCAAGTCTAGCAGCTCGCCGCTGAATTCTAAAAACGGTGTCCAATCCATCGACAACAAGTTCTCGACGGGCCCCCTCGCTGTCTAGGCACTGACGCGTCAATAGTAACGGGGTTGCACATCCCCTTGTATGAAAGGGTGGGTCACACAAGATGATGTGACCGTGCAGCATTGTGGACTACATAAGTTGGTGTATCACACAATGGTGTGGCTAAGAAGCCACTTCGTGGTAGGACTACCAGAAGTTATGCATATTAACGAGCTTTTACTAGTTAGTTGGGAGAACCTAACATTTTAGAATTAGGCGGCTCTGCCGCAAATAAAATACAGTTTTGATATTGAACGGAAGATATCCAGAACTCTTGGAGGTGGCGGATTGCGATCCGCCATGCTTGTACTGGTTTTCGTATAAAACGTAAGGTCGGTGACCTTAGTACGCTTCCTCTAATCAAAAAGCTACAGCAGCCCCGCTGCATAAATATCGTCGATCGTTATTATTTCATCTGTGAGTTTGCGCTGAACAATTCGTCTCACGCGCCAATTGGATCTTTCTACATTATAATATTAAGACACCAAGCTGACAACGCTCACGGAGCCTTTGATGCAAAACGATGAAGAGTACTCAAAAGCGAAGTCTCGATTGTGAGTTGATTTCATCGTCAAAACGGCCGTTAGTGCTCATTGACTCCAGACTGGGTGTGAGCTGCTGGGTCCACGATGTAGTGGCACGGGTCCAGTTTATGCACAAAAAACTGATAAAATCGACGAATGAAAATATAAATGCAATATTAACGGGGAATTGAGCGGACTCAGATGCGATGTAACCTGTTTAAAGAGTGAGGTTAGTTCGATTCGGGTTCCACAATAGAGATACTCTTCATTTACTGGCAATTTACGGTTCTGCATCGTAATTATTTCACCTATATGCTAGACTTATTTAAGTATAGATCAGCCTTTTTTTGATTGCCTCAAAAGATACAAGAACTGCATTCGTTCGATTGCCCAGTATAGTAGTCAGAAAATGTGCTCTGCGTCTTCTAAAGACTGGAAGACGGCGTAGTTGTGAGTACGTTTTCTGGTAGAGAAAGAAGTGTGACCGGTTATACAACTTAACGTGGCTCCAAATCAATATATACAAGAAGCGGAGTGCGCATTTACATGCGACTCTCAGCACGATGAGGACAGCGTTCGTCCTCAAAAAATGAGCACCTTCTCTCATTGTGGATTAGGCATGACGCCGGATCGTCTCGAATAATACAGTCGGAAGGATCCGGATTATGTCATATTCAAATAGACGCGGGGCAATCCAGTTCCAGAAATCTGTAAGAAATGATCTTGAACTGCTGCGCTCTAAATGCAGACAAAACAAACCGTTTGAATAAATTTTGTGTGATTTTCACTCGACATACGCGACTGATAGCGTCATGCCATACGTCGATCCCTGTAAAATTTTGTCTAGAGTTCTAGCATTTCCAAGGAGACTCGTTGATTAATCGCGAGGCGGGCAAGCAATTTGCGAAAGTTGCGTTAGCTAAGAAGCAGATTAACCTTTGTCACCACCAGGGTATTTCTGATTTGACCGGCACACATGATGCCTTGTCTTGTGGCCATATTGAGGTTTCTTCTGCCGCACATCAGCGCCATTTGACATTGATTTTGAATTTGGCATGTCAGCCTGTTTGTACTATATTCTTATAAGTATATTTAGACCAAATCACTACCTGATTCCCCTTCAAGACAGTGATACTGATACTGTTCAAATAACAATCATCTTGAGTTTTGCTCTATTTTCTTGCAGGCTATACTTCTCAGTACAACAGCCGAGAAAAATGTACTCCCCGTTGGCTTCAAGGAAGTACTAGTTTCTACTTACAAATAACTCAGTAAAAAGAATACATTTTGAGCACTGCTTGCAAGTTAATGCGGCTCTTCACAATGGAGCTCTCAATATTCTATTCTCTATGCTCTGTACGACTATTGACAACAATGTCTGAAGGTTAGGCTTGTTGGTAGGTACGATGTGAGCTACACAGCGTCGATAGACGATTGATTATCGCTGGGAGTTCGACAGTTCCTGCGTCAGAACCAGCCACCAGAGCATGCACCGCATTGACATGAATATCATTGTCCTTCATGTGTACGTAGTATGATTTGACAACTAGATCAATAGCATTAAATTAGATGCAGCAGAAGTTGTTATCATGCGACGAGGATTTCATTTTATAGTTCATCTGATTCATGGACAACATGGGTGGCGGGTCTGCTGTCACCACGTCGTGATTTTACTATCAAAGAAGGGAAATTTATAAGCTCGTAGAGGCCGGTTGTTGTCCCTAAAGTCCTGCAATTGTCAAAATGACAACATCACCAATGATTGGTAATAACCCCCCGCTTCTCTTTGAATTACACTGTACCAATTTGGTTCCTTTGCCATATCGCAGTATATTGCTCAAATACCCTGGATGATATCTGTTTAATCCGTGAGAGCTTTTGTTGGGGTAGTGAAGAGATATGTCTAGCCCTTTTGACAGCTCTGGTTGCTCGATTCTCGATTAACCTACCTATCACAAAAGCGACGAGCCTCACTGCTTCGCACGATTACCACGTCACACTGTAGTACTGACGCAACCATACCGTAATATTATGACTTGAACAAACAATGCTTAATACTTTGAGAGTCTCATTCCGTTATTATAAATCATATTTGCCCCACTCCATAGAATACTGCAATTTAGTTCCTCATTTGTCTTTTTCGTCTGCACAGAAGATACCAGCCAAAAGCTAGTTTATTTTGTAACACCAGAGACACACTCGATAACCACGCTAAACTGTCGCTCATTGTTGTCATAGAAAATGGCACCCTGAGACATACGGTAGTTGCTGTCTGCATCCTAGTGAGATTGCGACTTGCTGCCATTGCTGCATTCCGATCTGAACTGCTTATCAGTCAATTCAGCCCTATGTCATGCGTCGGAGCTATCAAAGTTTACCACTCATGTCCATTTCACCTCTGCTTCGTAATTTGGATAACTTTAGTCATACAAAGCTTCGAAAAATGCGTAACACCTACAGTGTTCGACCTCCAGTCCATCCAAGGATCGTGGCGTTCAGGCCACCACTCATTAAAGATGCGATCGCTCAATTTTAGGAATGAGCCAGCCAATGTCCAACGCTGTCAAGGTCTTCATTCCTTCTTTCGATGTACCCCCTCGGAAGCCACACTAATCTACGATGCCTCAACATGCTGCTATTCCTCCTCCTGACATCCTTGTGGGCTACGAGGCTGCATATTTCCTGGATGCATAAGGAAGAATATTGTCGTCACAAACACTCGTATGTTGATGCAACGATCAACAACTCTGTGCTACAGACCCTCTCACATAGAAAATCAGATCGTTTGAGTTGAGCTCAATTAACCAATGATTAAACGAGTTCCATAAAACCCTGAGTCGACTGCGAGGGGTCGTCGGCTAACCCAGCATGAGAGCCCAAACCTAAATAGTGAAGGAGACATGGACGGAGTAGATGTCTCTTGTGTCTGTGGATGTAATTCTATTAGTATCACGTTCCCTCTCGATATCTATAAAATTCCTCTTCCCATTTCTAGCGTATCTATGGTCCATTGCCTCTGACGCTCTTGTAGCACTTTCAGCCCTCTGTAACGGGCTACACTGATCCATTACATGAAGGTACAAATATGTACCTCCTGTATGCATTGTGAAGCTTTATTAAAGAAGAATACAGTATGGTAATTCCAAATGCATATTGACATCTAAGATGAGGTCACAAATTTTCTGTGTGATACAGAATACTGATTTCTGCTTGATAATCTGTGCTGATGACGAGACCGACGTGTCTCTGTCTTTCGAAGTGGGTAGTCACAAATACTGAACAATTTCCCGAAGTTGAAGTTTAACCTTTCGAAATTCAGACTTCATACGCCCAAGACCTTGTATCAATTAAAGCCGAGGTTCAACTTTTGTATGGCATTGCCTTTACGAATAAAGCTGTGAGGTATCTTAAAAGTGTATTCAGGCAAAGCACAAAGTGTGCCCGGCGAAAATAAATTCTACTTCCTTGCTCTTATGTTCAAGAAAAAACTCTATAGCTACTTAACCTTGATATATAAATCGCGAGCCCAAGATTTTGCTAATGAAGCCTATAGGAGCATTTGAGGTGTTTTGCATATAGCAGGAATCATAACTTATTTCAGACCAGTTGCAATGTTTCTTTTAGACATCAACTCGTCCTTCTTCCCTCCATATCCGGATTGATCTTCCTTCTTCACGTCGAGAATCGCTTCCTCGTCGCACAAGCGTTTGTGTTGTGTTTGAGGGAATGTTTGTGAACGGCGCCCTCTCACACCCTCACACATCAACCAGCCATCACTGCATTATATCTATACCCCCAATTTAATGCTGCACTCTCTGCTTTCTCGAAAATGGTTGAGTGGGTGCAGGCATTTTTAGTGTGAGCTGCATATCTCCATGAAGATGGTA